AAAAAAAAAAAAAACAAAAAAACCAAAGAACTTTACCAAGGATTATTTACCATTTCAGGAAATCTTGTCCTGGTGACCACCTGGCCTGTGTGAACTTAGTCACTGACACAACACCCCAGCAGCAGAGATCATGTGTGTTTGTCAACTTACATTCTCATGTGTAGTCAAGCCTGATCTTTTACATGCAGAGATACATTATTTTCTTATAAATTACTTTCTTTTATTTTTCCTCTATGTTACAGCTTGACCTTTCTATGGGTTTCTAAAAATGGTGTGTGTAGGAAAGGAAAATTATATTATCCATGAGTATCATTTCTGAATCTTAAAAGACAGCTAGAAAGCAGGTATTACCAAAAGCAGACTTTGAATCTAGTTTTGTTAAGAACCTTGCAAAGGACACAGAGCTTACTGAGCACCACCCAGTCCCGTGCATTGGTATTGTCTGCTGGGGGCTGCAGTTCCGGCTACCCAGTGTGACCCAGGCTGTCTGGAGTAAGCTGGCCACCAGACCAGCATGCCAAAGAAGGAGCATTTGTCTTAGCTGGGCACACACCGAAAGCCAGGTCCATATGCATCTCTCTTTCTTTTTTTGTGTTATTGGGTATTTCTCTTTCTTTCTTTCTTTTTCTTTTAAATTTTTGAGTGTTTCTTGTGAGCCAAATGCCGGGATACAGCAGCGAATAGGCCAGATAAGGTACCTGCTCACACTTTCTAGTGCAGGAGACACAAAAAAACTGAGTAAATAAATAAGACAATTGCAGGCAGCCAGGGCACCTGTTAGGACAAAAACAACAGGGTCACGTGATAGAGAGTGCCTGGGCCAGACTAGAAATAGGGGAGCCCGGGGGTCAGGGAACATCAACAGAGATACACCCATGGCGGGGGCCAAGGAAGGGTGGAGCAGGCTGGGGCGGAGGGAGGCATGCAGGTGAGACACTGGGATGTCACATTAACCTAAATTGACGAACACAGGCTCTGGGTCAGACCTGGATTCGGCCCAGCCATGTGACCTCAGGAAGGTTGCTTAACTTCCCTGAATCTTAGTTCTTTCATTGTAAAACAGGAATGGTAATTGTACCTACCTCAGAGGGTTGTGTTAAAGATTAAAGAAGAACTTAAAGATTAAACAAGAACCTGGCGCAACATAAATTTCAACAAGCACTAGCAGGACCTACTTTTAATTTTATTGATTTATTTATTTTGTAGAGAGAGGTCTCCTATGTTGCTCAGGCTGGTCTCGAACTCCTGGCCTCTAGCCATCCTCCCACCTTGGCCTCCCAAGGTGCTAAGATTACAGGCGTGAGCCGCCACATCTGGCCAGGACCTACTTTTTAAAAACGCTGGGATCAAGTATACCAGCGATTATCCTAGCATACGAGATTGAATTAAAGTCCCCTGGTACACACTGGAGTTGAGGTTTCTCTGCTAACTTACCTGGTCTCCTTTCTGGGCCTCAGTTTATCCATCTGTAAACCAAAAAGAACGATACTCCTGGCCCGACTCCTTCCCGAGGTTGCTGAGGTTGGGAAGGTGGTTGGTGACTGGGAAAGGGGTCCCGGGTGGGCAGCTCCTTCCTCCCCGGGGCCCTCCTTGCAGCTGTCTCCTCTCTGGTCCTCTCTGCACTCCTGCAGAGACTCTGACCTGACCTCTCTGAGCTGCTTGAGGAGGACAGTTTCCTCACTAGGCCCTGGCCCATTGCTTCAGAGATAGGTCACCATGTTAACAAGAGGAACTCTTTTGATGTTCTAAAAAGAATCCCTCCTGTTTTTAATGTACCAGTTTACAAGCTTTCTTCACATTCGTCATCCCATTTGAATCTCATGTGACTGTGTAGAGGGCACACGGGGGTCACCGTGTACCCGTTTTACAGATGAGGAAACTGAATCTTGGAGGAGTTAAGTGGTCTGCACAAGTCACTCGGAGCAGATACCTCCTGGCTCCCAGGGGGCCTACCCAGACGGGCTGGGGGCGCTGAGGGGGGCTGAGAGGGCTGTGAGGGAGGATCAAGCAGTGAGCAGAGCTGCTGTCAGTGTCCAGTGGAGCTGGTGACATGAACAAAAGCCCCGGGATCCGATTGACTTGGACTCAGACGCCGACACCACGCTGCCTGGTTGGCGACCCTGGGTAAGCCTCAGCGTCCCGTGCACGTGTGGAATGGAGGTGGTGCTTTGCGTGTTGTGCTGAGAATTCCGCGTGCAGAACAGTCCCGATTCTGGCTCTCGCCACTCCTGCCTCTGGCTCCCTAAGCTCATCGGCGTCCGGCTCTAACGGTCAGTGTGAGCCAACAGTGCCCGCAACCCACACCGTCCACGTGCTGCCCTGGACAGCAGCTGGGCCCCGAGCCCTGCAGGGACCACCTGGAGGCGTAACTACCCCCAACCACCCTCAAGTTCAGAAAAAGGCACAGGGTGGGGAGGGGTACTCAACATACCCACAGGGACACATGACACTGGCCGGGCCACCAAATGGGGCCAAACCTCTCTTGGGTCTTCCAGGCCCAGTGGCCACCCCGTCCCAGGGGAAGGACACGGTGTCCTTAGATGTGGGCCAGGGGCTGTACGATGGAGGATCGGGAAGGGGCGAGGACCTCAGTCCCTGTCGTCTTTGGTTTGGTTGGGTTTTTTTTCTTTCCACTCTAATGGGATCAGATTTTATATCATTAATTTTGTAAAATTTAACCAGAAAATGAATTCCTTTGTCCTGACAAATGGAATTTGCTTGTCAAAATTCTTTCACACATAGGAGTGCTGGAGAAGGACATGACAGTTTATTGAGAAACTACTGTGCGCCAGGCGCTTCACACAGATCACTTACCACACTCGGCCCTCCCAAACACCCTGGGCGTAGGCGCTGCAATGCCCCATGTCACAGATGAAGGTGCTGAGGGTCAAGGAAGTAAGCCACAGTCATCCAGTTGGCAAGGA